AATGAAATGGCCCTTAGAAAGGACAGAGTAGTAAGATTCAGAGAATATTTCCAGCCTTAAGGAAGCTGAGTAGCATGCTGATAGTAAAATTAAGTTTCAGTTTTAGACAGACTGACATTTGAAATTAACAAAAAAGAAAAAAAAAAGGGGAAAAATTAAAAGACCTTGAACTGACAAAAGAAAAAAAAGTAACTACTTTTTTTTTGTTGTTTTAAATTAAATGTCATCCCAAACAAGCAAAAAAAGAAAGAAAAAAAAAAGGTGAAAGGTAAGTTATATTTTGGGCAATCTTACTGAGTTCACAAAATGTCTAGTTCATAGCAGGTTTCAGTTTGGACTTGAACAATTTGCAAATATTTACATAAAATTTAAAGATAGGAGAAAGAGGTCATATATTGCCATTAACAATACAGAAGCTATTTTCCCTCATTCCCAAGGCCTGGGTGCTGCATTCCCACAAGTGGCCCCAGCTCTGCCAAAAGCCTGTCTTCTTTACCAAAGAAATTTTGATTTTTGCAACCAGCCCTGACTTCTGAACTGTGAGCACCTCTGACAGAGTCATATGTCACTGAAGCTTCTTCAATATCCAGACAGAGAAAGGAGAGAAACAGGGAGGCAGATGCATAGCGTCTGCTATCTGAATTGCAGATTTTGACAATATGTTACATTTTATATTGTTTTCTGTTCTCTGTATGCCACAGTCCTACACCATGCCCAGTCATTGATTCGGGGCTGGACTGTGTATACAGAATGGGGAAATAACCTTTAGACAGTCAAGAAAACACATACTATATTCAGATTAAGTTCATTCTAACATGCTGTTAGTTCTCCCAAGTCTGCAGAATGGGTGGGCACCACACCTACTTCAAAGGTTGCTTTGATGAGTCAATGAGGTACAAATAGGTAAGGTAGTTAGCATTGGGTCTGGCACATGGTGCAGATTCAGTAAATCAAAGCTATTGTTTTGGCGAGTGCTCTCAAATGTCAAACTCCCATGGAGGTCCTCAGGCATTACCCAGCCAAGTTACCCCATATGGTTAATAACAACTAAATAGAGGGCAGGTGGTTCAAAAGCAATGGATTATTTACCTGCAAGGAATCACACTGTACCCATGGTAATAAATTATTTGGCTTTTCATGTTGAATTCTCTGTTAAAAAGGAAGCTATCAATCCCTCAGTGGGACTCAGTATTGATTTGATTTAGAGTTGTGGTTTTTTGGCATCTTTCTATTTTCCAGATAGTTGTAACCATTCATTTGGTGCATATTCACAAATCATCCACTATATGTGAGGCCTTTAGAAAACAGACAAAGATATTAAACTAAAAAGATGTTTCAGTCTGTTCAGTGGTAGGCGACAAGCAGCCTGCAGGCCGGCTCTAGCTCTTACATATGCTTTCATCCAAAAAATTTTTTAAATATTTGAGCCAATATTTAAAAATCAGGAAATTCCACATAAATATCCATTATCCAGCTCCCCCTGGAAAAATCAAATGATGTGGCAACACAAAGCCAGTAATCCTACCAACTCTTCCCTGGCAAGAGCCACCAACAAGCTGAGTAGGAGCTGCCTGCCACTCTACGCTATGCCCTTTTCCTCACCAGAACCAGGTAGGTACATAATTTGTGGGCCTCAGAAAAATTGAAAACGAGGGGCCCCTTGTTCAAAAATTATTAAGAATTTCGGAAGACAACAGTAGAACCCTAAACCAAATATGAGGTCCTTCTGAGCAGGGAAGGGGAAGGGGGCCTATGTAACTGCACAGGTCTTATGCCCATGAAGCTAGTCATGGCTCTCACCTCCTGGACACACAGGAAGAGATTTATTTATCTAAGTATTCTCTCATTCATTAGCAATCAAGCCTACGTTTACAATAAGCTAGGTGTCACACCCCTGAAAACTGAAGTTCAAAAACTAGAGTAGAGGGGCCAGGCACAGCAGAGAGAGAGAGCCACAAGGGTCTCTTTTTTGTTAAGGCTGGATCCACACTAGAGACACTAAGTGAGAGTTAATCCAAGTAAAATTAAACTGCTCCCAACAATGTAGATTGGCGTGAGCCCTTTTGTTGGCATCACCGGAGCCTCGATTACGAATTCTGAGAAACAGCTCACAAGCACTAATGAATAACTAAGTCCTGTCGGCTGTGCAGACAGTGGGCCCAGAAGTGAAGGGCTGGCCTAGGAGAGATTTGAACATGAACCTGACCATCTGGCTCTCTCTGACTCACTTTGATCACAAAATGAATTGCAACAAATTGAAGAGCACATGGCTAGAGTTAATTGTCTCATCTGTAATCTGAATCTACTTTTAAGCAGTTATTATTACCCTCTATCAGGTGGAAACATTTCCTACCATCACTGCAAAGTGCATTTTCCTGATGAACTCTAATGGATCATTAAATTCCATATCTGAATAACAATACTGTGCACTTATTCAGTGCCTTTCATCCAGGGATTTCAAGGCAGTTTGCAAATAATTAAGCCCCTCACACAGCAGCCAGAGGTGAGCCACTGGAAAAGAATTGCCTGAAGATACTGAGTCAAAGGGCATAATTCAGTAGAAAGAGAATAAATGGCTTCCTCCTAGGCACTGGTAATACTGAAAGTGATTCCTGATCCCCTCCCTCTCTTTGGCCTCACCCCTTCTTCTCCATGGCAGATCCTGACATGCAACATACAAAGAACCAAAAAATAAGAGGAGCGTTCGTAATTTACCTATGAGTTCAGACACACACATAACTGAGGAGTGTGTCTCTCCATGTAATTCTGGCAAACACACTACGAACTGACATTTCAGTTTACCTGCAGAATAGACAGAAGAATTTGCTCAACACATTCATGATTACCAAATGGCAAACCTGAAGCCTCCCGCAATCCAAAATGAAAATACGGCTCTGCTCCAATAAAGTTATGTTCTAACAAAAATACTTTATTCCACGGTTGTGTATTCCATCTCTGGGACTTCCCCCTATCTGAACGACATTCAGGTTTCAGGAGTAGCAAAGATGCTGGAAATGGGCAATCAATGCATTTCTTTTAAAAACCATAACATTAGAAGGGAAAACATCTCAGCCACTCAAAGTTTTGTGGTGAAATTACAAACTCCAGAAAAACTGAATTTATAATGGAAATGTTGACAGACCTTTCACTGGAGCAGTTTGAACGCAACGCTGGAATTTGGCAATCTCTCTTACAGACTAAAGACTAATTCTAACAAGATGTCATTTTGACTCACGTTTATTATTACCTGCAAGAATGAAAAATGCCGTTTATTCGCGAGGTGCAGGAGAACCAGGGTGGGGCGATCTCACATTTTAAGCAAGACGCCCGCTGCCTTACCAAAATAGCCCTCTCCCCCAAAGGAGGGGCAGCCTTTCACGCTCAGCTTCTTTCATGTCAGCCCGAGCCTTTGCAACTCCGACATGCCTTTCCCACATGTTACATTTTAATGATCTGAGAAAACCGTTATCAGCGTTAACATCTCTAATTTTACTCTAAACAAGACAAAAGCAAAATATCTCATTAGGCATCATCTCCGCCAAGGTTCCCACTAGGCAGGAAAGGATTTTTATCAAAGTAATTACCCTTTTTAGTTAAATACACTCAACAGATGAAATTTACACAGAGTGTGAGAGACTGCAGCACTAGACAGCGAAGGTGAAAACCAGGAACACCGCATCTCGCCGCCCGCGGGCCCGCCGGGAGGCTGCGGCTCCGTCTCGCGGGTGGGGCGCCCCGTCCCTCTCGTTTCCCCGCGGCCACGGGTCACGGCGACGGCGGTGACCCGGCGGGCAGGCAGGCTGCGAAGCGCGCCTCCTCGGGCCACAGACAAACCACCCCGGCAGCGGCCGCGCCGGAACTTCTTCCCTCAAGTTGCCAAACTCGCATACGCGCGCGAGGGTTCTGGGGATGCCCCGCGCGCCCGCGACCCCCGAGGCCAGGGGTGTGCGGCCCCTTCACACTGACACCCGGCCCTGCCCGCTTCCCCTCACGTCGGAGTTCCCGCAGAACCTCGACCGGGCCGAGGTCGCTAAGACGCTCGCTCCAGTGTCCCCTCATGGGCACCTGGGGTAGCCCGTGAGCGCCGCCCGCTGCCGTCTCAAGCGGCGCTGGGCTCCCGAACACCCGCCGGGTGAGGGAAGCTCTGCGGGAATGGAAGCGCCTCGGCGCGGGGACGGGGAGGGCAGTGCCCCCGTCATAAACCTGGGTGACGCTTCTGGGGCTCGGAGGCTGGAGTCTAGGGATGTGTGGGTGTGCTGCACTTTGACTTCCCGCAGGATCTTCGGGTGAGGGGGTGCAAGGTTTCCCTCTCAAAAGCCTGGAGCCCTTAGGTCTTAGCTCCGCGGGACGCTTTCCGACCACCGGAGCTTTTGCCAGGAGAGATTCCACCCAGGTCCGCGCCGCGAGGCTCCCAACTCGCCTCTTCCCGCGACCCTAAACTTGGGCTTTGGTTCCCCGCCGGTCGCGGTGGTCCGGGCCACCCGGCGGCGGCTGACAGCTGAGCGCAAAGGCGCTGAGGCCACGGTCCTCGCGCAGCAGCCCGGGGCGCGCACGCCGGGGGCTGAGGAGGAGGCCGCCGGGCCCGGCGCGGGGATCGCGGGCTGGGGGCCGGGGGCAGGGCCGCGGGTCTGACAGCTGCTCCGGCTTGGGCGGACGCGCGCCTCCCTGCAGCCCGCCCTCCCCACGCCTGACTTATTACCCTCTGCTCCTCCTCCCACTGCCGTTCCAAAACACCCTTCGACGCGAGCAAAATACAATGCCGCCTCGGCCGCCGTAAACAGCCGGGCGGGAGACAGGGCGCACATTCGGCGCGGCGCGGCTGCCGGCTCGGCTCCCACCCCCTTCCCGTTCCTAGAAAATGCCATAAAAGCGGGGAGGGCGGCCGCGCGCCCGGCAGCCGGGGCTCCCTTCCCGCGCCGCTTCCCCACGCCTCCCCGCCCGCCCGCTCCCCCCGTAAACTTGCCCCGCCACCCCGCCCGGCGCCGGGGCCCGGGACTCACCTCGCCGGAGAAGTTTGCGTCCTTTTCCGCCTCCTCTTCCCCGCGTCTTCCCGGCCCGCAGCCCCCTCCCGGCAGCCGGCGCGGTGGGCGGTTCGGGGGTCACCGAAAGCTCGCTGAGGGGACGCGCATCACATGGCAGCTCGTTCCCAGCACCCCGGGAGCGCCGGGAAGGGGGAGGGGAAGGGACGAGGGGAGGCTGTGGAGAAAGCGAGAGCGGGGCGGCGGCGGGAGTGGGCTGGCGGGGCGGCGAGGGCGGCGGCCGCTCACGTTAGCGCTGTACGACCTCAGCCCGGGCGTGCACGGCCGCTGCTACTGCTGCTGCTGAGGCGGCGGCGGCTCGGCGCTGTTTGCTCCGCGCCGCGCGGCTCGCGCTCTCCCCGGAACGCCCACACTCTCAATCGCTACATTGTTGACATTCGGGGCTGACGTCACCCGCTCCCCATTCACAATAACTTTACGGGAGCCGGGCAGCGCACCTCCCCGGCCGCTGGGGCGCTGTACGCCCGGCGACTAGCGTAAGCCGCTCCGCGAATGGCGCTCCGGGGGCTGGGGTGGGGGCGGGGGGCGAGCGCGCGCTCCGCCGGCTCGCGGGAGGGGGCGCGCCTCACGCCGCCGCCGCCGCCGCCGTCCTCTCCGCTTTGTGCGGACGCGCCGCCCGGAGAGCCCCCTCCTCCCGGCCCGGGTGACCGCCCCGCTCGGCCTGGTCTTCCGGGCCGCGAAAGACAAGGGTTGGGGGCAGAGCGGGTGAGCGTAGTGGTGAGGGCTGGTGTGGCACCTGGGGAGGGAGCCAAAGCCCTAGGCGCTGCACCAGGGGAAGGGGAGCGGACCTCGAGACCTGGGATCCCGGGGTTAGCTAGCGTTTTCCCGGAGGGGCAGGAAAAGATGCTCCACGGGCCCCCACCAAGCTGACCGGACTCCCTTTGGTGTGGGGACGGGGCGAGTAAAAGCAGCCTTTAGAATGTTGACTTCTGAATCCTTCGCCTGCCCCACTGAGCGAACCTCTAAGTCCCTACGCCAGTGGTTTTGGAAAGAGCGCGGTCGATTTCAGGAGGACATTAAAAGCCAACCTTCCGGGCTTCAGCCCCAGCTCCTGCTGCCTTCCAGCCACTCTCCCTTGCCTTTCCTTTCTGAGGCTGTTAGGGTGTTGTTGCTGCCCTTCAAGGAGTGCCCTGTCAGAAGGAGGCTTGGTGGTGCTTAGGATTTTACAGAGTAATGAGGATTTAGGCTGAACATACATTTGCAATAAAATAAGGTTGTGTTAGTGTTGTGCTGGTGCCTGCAACTTTACCTCTTGCCAAGGCCAGAAAATTCTGCCACGTTTCCCTAAACACCTATAACTTGGCCCTCTTGTGTACAGACAGTATTCCATATTATTACATGTGGTGCTGATTTTTAATGAATATTATAAAACTTTGGCTCGCTCTACTGAGGGAAGGATCATAAATCCCCCCTGTAAAACGGGCACTGGCATATGCTGAGGAAGCAGTGAAGCGTCGCCTTGGGAGTCTTGTGATATCATCTAAAGCGTTGCTCTGAACCACCTTCGTTTGAGGGCAGAGTTTTGAAAGGCCCCATTTGGAATGTCTGTGTGGAAAGCTAAGTGATGGCTGAAAGCAAGCTGAAGGTGCTGAGCTTATTTTCTAATGGCACTGCAGAGCCTCTGCGTGGAGGTCTGGGGACTGGATTTTCTCTGCTAACCTACCCGGCTTTCAGATAAGGAAAAGTCCTAGAGTTAGGAGTAGCCCTCAGTCTCCTGACCTGATCTGGTGCCTCCTAGGACAGAACACGCTGCTTCTGAGGTCCCTGCCCGACCCCTGGCAAGGACAGAGTACTGATTCCTAGTCTTCCGTGGCCAGGCCGTTTCTTACAGTCTTATGGATGGTTCTGTTTCACATTCCTCATTCTTGTAAGTATGTGTTGGTGAAATAACTTTATGCATTTTAATAGTAGCAATAATGTTTTTCTCACAACAAGGGATGCTTGAGAGCATCCCTGTGAGGGTGGTGTAGATTAATTTATTTCAAGCAGCCATGGCTGCCCAGCTGTGAGTGGAGTTGGGCACATGGGAGAGGCGGGTGGTTGAGGAGGGAAATATGGCTGCCAGCTGATCTACCACCACCATTCTGGGTTCTACAAGCTGATCTTATCAGATGGATACAACAAAGGCTAACAGGTTCTTTCCATTACTCTGCTTGTCTAAAGACTCAGACTGGAGCTTTTTCACTTTGAGATTTTAAAGCATGAGGTGGGACATCAAGTAGAGATGAAAACACTTAATACACCTGTGATAAGTTGCATCACCCAGTCATTCAAGGAGGCTGAATTAGGAGTTGTTAGCCTCTCAGGTTAGGTCCAGTTCTGCAATTATGCACCTCTGTGGCTGTAAGACGAAATCTTTGCTTTGAATAAGCTTTGAAGTCTAGTAGTGAGTTCATTTTTCTACTTTATTTTCAGTACTTAGAGGTGGGTTATTTGAATTCAAGCCTGAAAAATATATTAAGGATTATGTAAAATTAAAATGGTAAGTCAAGTACTAGACACTCTAACAGTATTGCTGCAGAGGCTGGGCTATGGACAGCCTTAGCACCTCCATCATGAGCTTGCATGGCCATCCCTGGGCTTGTGGTGCTGTTCCAGCACTTTAGGCGTTTACAATGTGAAACACATGCAGGTCCTCCTTCTCTCTGTATATTCATGGCAGTAACTGGAGTGGAGGTCAATTTATTTCTCATGCCTGAAGCATTCAACCTTTCCTGATACACATTTTTTTCTACATAATTACATGTGTGTGTTGATCCGGAGCATGTCTGTGATACATTTCTAAGCATGACATGATTTCCAGGGACAATAAATTTGTATCATGTCATTGAAACAAACAAACTTTATTTCTATAATAGAAATCTCATTGGTTGTATAAAATAAAATAGGAAAAATTAAAATATACAGGAAACAGATGAGTAAAGGAAGACAGACTAAAGACATGGGCAGTTCTTGATCCTTTGATTTTCTTGCTCCCCATCATCCTGTACAGAATCCGATGATGTTGAAAAGATATTGTGTTTTTGCTTAGGCAGAACAGTAGACAAATTCAAATGTGCTATCTTGAATAAGACATACCAGGGCAAAGTTAACATCCAATGAAATCTGGCAAAAGTGAATGGAGTGGGATGTTATAGGGGTTTCTGCAGACAAGGAACATGTCCTGGCCTCAGCTCCTAAAGGATCACTCTGCTGGGTGGAGGGAAATACAGGAATGGAAGCAGAGAGACGAAGTAGGAGGCTATTGAGATAAGTCAAGAGAGAGGTGATGGTGATTTAAACTGTTAATAGAATGCTAGAATGACAGCCGTAAATGGATTCTAGATATATTTTCAACATAAACCGGACAGGATTTGTTGATGATTCCATTGTAGGATATGAGAGAAGAGTCAAAGGAAATTCTGAATTTTGGACTGAATAGCTGATTAATGGAGAGTTTATTAAGATGGAGAAGGCTCCAGGCAGAGCAGGTACAGGGGAAATGCTGAAACATTTGGTTTTGGATATAGTACATTTGAGATGCCTCTCAGACATCTAAGTGGAAAAGGTGAGCAGGTGATCAGACATAGGAATCTATAATTTAGGAGAGAGGCCCAGACTAGAGATAGAAATCTGTGTATCATCAGCACAGCAACTGGAAACATGGGTGGAGAAGAGGAGCAAAGAAAAAAAGTCTAAGGTTTAAGACCTGGGGCACTCTGACATTTAGCGGTCAGCAGGATGAAGAAGATCCCCCTCCAAGGAAGCTGAGAACCAGCACATCGAGAGAGAAAGGGGCTGGTTCATCCTAAGCAACAGAAGGAAGGGCAGCACAAATGGAGATGTGCAGGGAGGCTGGAATGTCATGGTTGGAAGTTTGGGAAGCCCTTGTCTGAGTGATTCTGTTTTCTTAGTGGACTAAGAAGAAAGATCATCCACTGATGGTGGAGGAGGGAAGGATAGATTTAAGGGATAGATAAAAGATGTGAACCAGTGCCAGGAATGTAGCAGGACTGCTGGACAGCACAGAGGACCTTAGGGGGCCCACTCCTGGGGGCTTTCTGGACACACCACAGCCAAGAAGAGTTATTTCTCATTGTATAAAATCTCACACAAGTTTTGAAAAATGATTAGGGTAATCCAAACTAGAAAAGCAAAAATTTTGTTTCTAGCAATTATTAAATTTGGCTGGCAGCCTTTTTCCTTTGAACTATACATCTCTTATTTGTACCATCTCCATCTCCAAGATTGCCTCAGTTCCTAAAAAGAGTTTGTAAACAGTCCCTAAGAGAAAGTGATATTCTTACATTACTATCTATAGTGATCTTCTTCCCTAGTAAATAATTGATATCACTATTATCTAAAAACTTACATGAGATAAACAAGTGAAATATGGTATATGAGGTAAACTAATTTTTCAGCATATACAACTGAGCATCTGTTACACTGTTGAGGTGAAAAATTAAGAAACATTGGACTCAGCCGGGCGCAGTGGCTCAAGCCTGTAATCCCAGCACTTTGGGAGGCCGAGGCGGATGGATCACGAGGTTGAGAGATCGAAACCATCCTGGTCAACATGGTGAAACCCCGTCTCTACTAAAAATACAAAAAATTAGCCGGGCATGGTGATGCATGCCTGTAATCCCAGCCACTGGGGAGGCTGAGGCAGGAGAATTGCTTGAAGCCAGGAGGTGGAGGTTGCGGTGAGCCGAGATCGCGCCATTGCACTCCAGCCTGGGTAACAAGAGCGAAACTCCGTCTCAAAAAAAAAAAAAAGAAACATTGGACTCTATCCTCAGGAAACTTAAATCCACATAAGGAGTCAAAACGAATATACATGAAATAATTGAAAAATGTAGTAATTTTGTATTTGATTGCTTTTATTTGTATATATTAATATTTTAAAATTATATAGAAATTGTATGTGTTAGAATTTATGCTAACGAAAAAATTAAGAGTGTACAGATCTTTTCTGTATGATAGCAAAAGGAAAATGGAAAAATCTAAATGCCTTACAGGAAATGATTGTCTAAATAAATGGTGGCTCATATATAAATATGAATATCATAGAGCCATTGAAATAATATTGGTAGCCAGGTGCAATGGCTCATGACTATAATCCCAACACTTTGAGAGGCTGAGGCAGGCAAATTGCTTGAGCTCAGGAGTTCGAGACCAGCCTGGGTAACATAGTGAAACCCCATCTCTACCAAAAATATATTGAAAAAAATTAGTGATGAAAATGTATGTATATTGGTATATTAATATTTTATTATATTTAAAAAATAATTTGTATAACAGCATTTACAGTAGAATCCTATTTGTGAAAAAAAATTGCCAGTGCATGGATAGGAAAAATTTGGAAGGCTGTATGCACA